GAATATTGTTGACAACAAAACTATTACACACAATGAAGAAAACAGATATGTTTAATCAGCATCCCTCCAACATGTAATTAAAAGTGAAAAATCTCATGCTGATTTCTTATATATGCTAACATGCCACTTACCCTGCCTTTGCAACACTGATGGTTTGTTGTTCCATTGCCTCGTGGATACTGGTTCTGTCATGTTCTTTGATACTATTGAACTCATCAATGCAACACAGACCTCCATCTGCAAGCACCAGTGCTCCAGCTTCCAAATTCCACTCCCCAAATTCCTTCACAGCAGTCACTGTCAAACCTGAAGAATCAAGTACTTCAGTCAGTCTCTTCTTTAAAATGCAAGAGTAAACTTGAGTGAAAGAAAGGGACCCAGCAGTGGCTTGGGCCATGGACAGAGTACACACCATCAAGGAAACTCCATCATGTGCTTCTACCATGTAAGTTAACTCACTTTACAGCTACCAGTAAGCAATCCCACTAGTGTTGAGGTAGGTTAGCCTGGAGCTGTGGATTTGATTCTGTTAAGCTTCCCATACCTGGACTGTGACTTATTTTAAAACTTTGTTAAATGAACAGAAGATATTAGGGTACAAAGACTAGATCTGGCAGATCATACTGAAAACTGGAGCAAAGGCAAAGACTGCAAAATTATGGAACAGATACATTCAGGTCCTCCTCTTCATCAGCTACTAAGACAGAAATTTTGGAGCTGTAAAGCAAAGTTTGGAAAAAAAAAATAATTAATTGTAATTTAACTCATGGCTCCAGAAAGTGGAGTCAAATTCTTCCTTTAAACTAAGAAAATTAAATTTCTTTATGAGTTTTTGGTTTCCTCTACGCATTAAACAAAAATGAAAACCCAAAGATGAGCAAGGATGAAATGGGAGAAGAAATAATAATAAAAAAAGTTTTCTGGTAAATCTACATGATTCAACACTGGGTGGATGGCAAGTCAAAACCCCTGCACAACTGCGGAAATTGTCACTCATTAGCAAGTATGTGCAGCTCCCTCCAATCCTTCTATTCCCTATTTCCCAGCTTCTTCTCTATCTTTAGCCCTTCTTTTTCACTCCAGTGTTCAGCTCAAAATATCCTAGTAGTTGACAAGCTGCAATCAGCCTAAAATCCCCTGGAATTCTATGACAAAACCTGCACAAGAATTCCCCCTGCCTCACCATTTGGTTCAAAGCTGCAAAGACTTTTTCATCACTGCACAGCCCACCACGGCACCTATTTGATTGCAAATGACCAGAAAAAAATTACTGGAATTAAATGTTTCCTGATAACATAATACATACTTCAACTTGTAGTAAGGAATCTTCACCGTGTCCAATCTTTCTTGGTTTCCCTGCACTCTGTGCCGAACAACATGGTCAATCAATCATACAGCAGGAATTACAGAAACACAGAGTACTAGGCAGTACCCTGGCTAGGCTTATTTCGGAATATTCTGTGGTGAGGGAACACAACTCGCAACCCTGGAGCCATGGGCACTTTCTGCTCTCCCCCCAGAGCCGTGAGGGAAGCCACTGGCACCGCAGCGCGGTGTCGCCCTGCTCGGCACCGTCCCCTGTGCATGGCGGCCGTGAGATGGCCTCTGCTGCAGGCTCCTGCCCCCACACAAGATGGCTTCCCCTGCTGCACACAGGGCCCTGCCGCCGGCAATGCTGCTGCACGAGCACCGTGTCCCGCCTCGCAGCTCTTCAGAGTACCCAAGCCCCCCACAAACAGAGGAAGAGGATGGCTTCCTGACAGCCCGGCTGTGTGACAGGCACGCTTGGTTCCCTGCACAGCCCCTCTTGGGTGGCCTCTCCAGCAGCAGCACTCGGGGCCGTGCGGACAGCCCGTGCCACCCAGCAAAGCCGGTTTGCTCAGGGGGCTCCCCAGCCAGCAAGGTGCTGTATCCCGCCACAGACATCCCGTGCCGTCGGCCAAGAGGGCGCTGCCGTGGGCTGCAGGCTTGGCCTCATGAGCCTGGCACCAGTGCCCAGCCCCATTGCCCTGCGCTGGGGGTGCTGCTGGCATCCGGGACCCCACCAGCACCCAGCACAATCAGCACAGAAAGAGGGAAATAAACCCACCAAACAAAGCATAACAAAAACCCAAAGAGCTGGAAGGGCCCTAAACTGAAAGTGTCCCTTGGCAGAGGGTGGAACCCCACAGGCAAGATGGTTTAGCCTATAAGTGAATCACTGTTTTCATTCTTCTTAGGGGATGCTGAAAGCTTAATGCACCTTCCTGCTTGATTAGTTTTGTGCCTTCAGAGAGCAAAAGTGCTTATTCTATAGAGAGGTGTTGGGAACCATTTAATCAGGAGTGCTGGACTAAGAGTAGTTTTTCACCCTTCCCAAGCAGCCAGCGCTGCAGTTGTTGTTTATACAATACTGTACAATCTTAGCATATAAAAAAACCCACCACTTAGGACTCTAACACTTCTGAATCTTCCCTTTTATAAATAAGGTTAAATAAAACTTTAAAATGAGCTCTGGTTGCAAGCAGTTTTTTGTCTTGTTGAAATACAATGCTTTAACTTTTTGCCTGAAGTGAATGGACAAAAAGAGTTTTGTCTCTGCTCTATCCATTTTTCTAATTTAGTTATGATATTTTGCCCTGCTATTTTTTCAGCCTCGATTTTCATCTTACAGCACTTTCCAAGCTGGATGTGGTCTTACATTGTTTACAACTTGCAGAGGATGAACATTTTGAAAGGAAATTAATTTCTTCTTCAGCTCATATGGTTCACAACTTAAAATATAATACACTGACCAAAAAAGCATCTCCTATATATGAATCTAAACCTTATCAGTTTTTACGAAAGTTATTGTGGTAGGCAGGATAAACGCAGTCCCATAAGCTATATGCCAGCAATTGAAATAAAGTCACATCTTAGGTTTTACTTTTTCTTTTAAATATAATCATTGCAATGCAAGGCAACTGCTTTCGAACTAACCTACAGAGTCCTTCTTGGTCGTGAATGGAGATCTGACTAGCTGTGAGGCAAGATCTTTCCTTCTGATTTTCCCCTCGCCTGAATTTTAATCTTTTTAATGCATGCAGAAAGATAAAATAAATAAAAAAAAAAAGAAAAGAAAAGAAAGAAAAGAAGGCTATTGATAAGCTTTCAGTCCTGTTCCTAGAAATCAGAGGAGCAGATGTCCCGCGGTTCCCTCAAGCTAGCCTGGATCATCCCCCGCCTTGGCC